AATAAATTAATAATTTGTTATGGAAGGAAGTGTGTGTATATATATATATATATATATATATATATATATACACATATATAATAATTATATATATATATATATATATTAAATAATATATGTGTAGGTATATATATATAAAAATCATTTAAGATGATTAATATTATCATTCTTATTTGGCATATCTTGATAGGCTGGTTGTTAAATTAATGATATGCGTATAATATGCATGTGATGGCTATGTATGATTTAGCGTATTGTTAATTTTAAAGTTAATTCATGGTTAAAGTGTGGGCATGGATGAATTGTCAAATGATTAAATATATTACCTAAATATTTGTATGAATAGAATACATATATGGAAAGCATGGATGAATTGCTAATTAAATGTATGAATAAATATACCTGTGGAGGCATGGTTGAATTGCCAATGTATAAAATATACATACACGGAGGCATGGTTGAATTGCCAATGTATAAATAAATATACTTATGGAGGCATGGTTGAATTGCCAATATATAAATAAAAATATTTATAATGGCATGATTGATTTGCCAAAGCATAATTACGTTGTTATGTGTTAGATAATTAAAATATCATCTATGGTTGTTGTATGTATGGATTGGATTAGGGTTAGATATTCTTAAATGAGAATAGTTTAGTACTTACTGGTTAGTGTATTATTTAATATTAATAAAATAATATTGGGGAAGACATAGATGATTTGTCAAAGCTTGGATTTTGGATATGTGATTTAAACAATTAAAATCATTATCGGGTTGGGATTAAATAGAGTATTTCTTTTATTATAATTTATTGTTTAAGTGATTAAACAACTGATTAGGATGGAATTCAGGTTAAAGGAGTTTATTTTTTTTTTAAAAGAAATGGTGGATTGGTCTAGGTATGATTATTATTTTAATTATTATTTAATAGGTTTGAAAATTTAATAAATCTATTAGTGGATGTGATTAATGTAGTATATATAATTATTTATATATATGTACATCATGCTATATTAAAGTTAAATTCTTTATTAGGTTGGATTTTGATCAGAGATGATCTACTTATTGGTTTTCAGAGGTCTGGTAGAGAGAACTTGCTCGTAGGGTTTAACCCATGATTTATTTTTCAGGTTATTAGAAGTTCCAGTCTCGAGGTTAAGGATCCGCAGCTGTGAGACTGTTATTCATCTATTCATTTTGTGTACTTTTAAGTAGTATTGGATTATAGATAATGTTTTAAGGGGTCATTGGGTTATGGGATTCCCGAGTTGTAATTGTTGGAGAGTTATTAATTAATGAAAATTATTATTTATTAGTTTTTCTTCAGCGTATTATTTATTCTTTTATTTCACTTTGTATTCTGTGCTTGATTAAATACTTTAATTGTTTTGATATCCCTTAATTTTGTGCGCGGACTTGATCAACCCGTGTTTCGAAATTAGGGGGTATTACAAGAGAGAACCAGGTTAGACAGCAGAGAGAAACAAAGGCCCTTATTTGATTTGTTGTTGTACTCATTTTTAATCTAAATTGCACCCTTAAATTTAGATTTGTAAAAGCATGTGGTAGATAAATTGGTTCGCAATGTTAATATATAAGGATAAAGAACAAGAAGATGTACAATGGCAAGAACAATAAAATCTTTTTTACTTATCAAAAAAAAAAAAAAAAAAAAATAAAACAATGAAATCTTTTCATTTGAAGACCATCAATTCCACGGTGTTATCGTAAGTGATTGAGAGAGATGAGTTTGCTACTATTTACATTCATCATCAAACTTCTCACTAACACCCAATAAAAAAAAGAAAGAAGAAAAATCCGTAGATGGTCATCCTTAATTCCAACATGAGTGAGTAATCATTTTTATTAATTCACATAATATTCCAAATATCATCAACTATGAATCACGGACACTCCTCTCAGGGGTCCCGTACCCGTGTCGGATACTTTTCGGACACCGACACCCGTGTCCGAGGCTCGGACACGTGTCCGACACTTCTGTAAAATGTCCAAATATTATTTTTTATTAGACACGCGTGTCCGAGGCTCGGACACACGGTCCGACACTTCTGTGAGACAAGATTTTTTTTCTCTCACTCCTCTCAGTCTCTCCTCTTCTTCAATTATCTCTCTTCATGAACAAAATATATATATATACATATATATTTAAGTTACATGAACAAAACTTTGTGAAAGACTGAAAGTATATATATTTATTCATATACATATTTAGTTCATTATAGCTATGTCTCTTCTGCACATCTTCGTTTGGAATTTGGATCAACTTTATTTTTCATTTATTTTCTGTTTTGTCTTGTCCATATCTTTCTTATAACAGAGATGAAATTATTGAAATTAATTCTGTTCTTTATTGTTGTTTTATTTATCTGTACAAGATTCTAATAATTATATTTTGAATATATATATATATATATATATATAAAATTTTATAGGCGTATCCTCGCCCTGTCCGTGTCCTATTTTTTTGAAATTTGCCGTGTCGCCGTATCTGTGTCGTGTCGTACCCGTGTCCCGTATCTGTGTCCGTGCTTCATAGATCATCAACAATGTGCAAATATAAGGTTGCATCATGGGTAATGTAACAAGTCTATGTAACATTGTTTCCACCTTTAATTCTCAAATTATATCCTGATTGATAGACTACTTTTAGTCACTATTCTATTACTAAATGATGAAAAATCTATATATATATATATACATATATATATATATTTAAAAAACCCAAACCTAGAATTTTGATTCAAAATAATCAATAAATTGAGATCGCATGTAGCAATTTCTTTTAACTACATTTTTCTTGTATAACCCGGAAAGCTTATTTTTTGATAGAATTAAAATTTAAATATTCAAAATTTTATGAACTGAATTTTAAATACTAATTATAAATTGAAATTTTTATTTGTAACTGTTTGAAATTTAAATGTTCTCATTCTCAATTAAACCTAATTTTTAAGTAGTTGAAAGCACTTCATTGGCACATTTTTTTTTAAAAAAAATAAAATTAAATGTTAAATTGGGTTTTATAAAAAAAAATAAATAAATAAACCGCTTCACACTGTATCTCCTCTTATTGTAACTGGGTTACCACGTTCATCTCCTTGCGAAGAGGAACGCGCTGGTCTATAGATCTGCAAAAAATTCTTAGTGGGAGTGACTAGAGTGGTGCTGAAACTCTGGGCCCCTCAGACTTCTTCAAATAGAAAAAGGAAAGAGTTTGGGTTACCAGTTGTTAGTCAACGTTATAAGTAACCACATCTTAAGGCTTAATCCTCTTCAACAGCTCCTTGTCCTCGAAGTAGGCTTCATCGAAGTAGGCGTCATCCAAGTAGGCGTGCAGCAACTCTTGAATTTTTATAAAAGGATACATGGTAGTCAAATTGCACTCTTAAATTAGATTTGTAAATTGATTTGCTTTTCAAATATTTAAGGATTATAAAGAACAAGATTTACTTGAAATTTACAATGGCAAGAATTATAAAATCTTTTCATTTCTAAGACTATTAATTTAAATGAAATTGTTATCATAATATTACGTTTGTATGGGGAATAGAAATCCATACATTACTACATTTATTTTTCAATGCATGATGGTATAATAAACGATCACACTGTGTTGCATCAGTTGTTGCCGGCATTAGTCAGTAGACTTTCAAATAGCAAGTTAGGGTACAAAATTATAAATCAATTCAATTTAAAAGATCTTTAGTCCTCTTCTTCTTCTTTTCTTTTTCATTTTTTTTTTTATTTCCTTTTTGCAATTCAATTGTCATGCATTGACATGTCCTTAAAATTTTGGCACACATTTATTGATCACCGAAGATAGGGAATGGAGAGAGGTCGATTTGTTAGACATAAAACCTTAATTTAAAACGTTCAATCTATTCTTATGCTTTAAAGGGGAATCGATGTTTTGTTCAATTCTTTTTTATTTATTTTTATTTTGTTGTATTGACAAATTTGAGGGAACTCGCTACCAAAATCAATCGAAGCAATAAGCCACTCACTGGGTACACCAAAAAATTTAAATAAATAAAAATAAAGGAAGAATAGGAGGATTGTATTTATTTTGGGAAAAAGAAGAAAAAATAAAAATAAAAACCCAAACCTAGAATTTTGATTCAAAACTATCAAGAAATTGAGATCACGTGTAGCAATTTATTTAACTACATTTTTCTTGTACAAACCCGGAAAGCTTATTGCTTGATAGAATTAAAATTTAAATACTCAAAATTTTGTGAATTGAATTTTAAAAACTAATTATAAATTAAATTTTTTATTTGCAACTGTTTGAAATTTAAACATTCTATTTCTGAATTAAACCTTTTTATTTTTTTATTTTTTTTAGTAGTATTCACAATCTTGCCACTGAAAGCACTTCATTGTCATATTTTTTATTTTTTAAAATTAAATGTTAAAATGAGCTGCCTTAAAAATAACAAATAAATAAATTATCAAAATAGCATCACACTGACCCAAACACCCAACACCACCTTAATGTTTAGGTTTAGAAACTCCCCCAAACACCGCCTTGGTTTTCATATGAAAAAAGTTGCAATGGATAAAGTCGGCATTTAGGTGGTCAATGGAACCCAAATCCACTACTTTTGTTATTCAAGCTTGGGCCATTTCAAATTGAACCCAACAACATCTTAAGTCCAAACCAATTCCAATAATGTGTAACTTGGGTTTCAATGGGTTTTGTTCCTTATCTTCAGATAGACAGATTGGACATTGGTCCAATGCATTTATAACTTCAGACTTGTTCGGTTTAGTTCTCCAAGAACAGATTAATTTCAAAAAATTCACTATTCTTTAAAATTAAGTTATTTTTCTTAAACTGTTTTCACAAAATTAATTGTAACTTAGCTAAATTTTTTTTAATTTCAAATTCAATAATTCGGTGTCCGCAAAAATACAAGTCCAACACTCAATTGTCAATGTGAAAAAAGTTGTTGAGATTCATAAAATAAATTATCTTTATACATGCTCGCTCTTCCCTCCGCGTTACATATCTTCTCTCTCGTGCCTCCGTCTATCCATCTTCTCTCTCTCTCCGCCAAACCCTAACTTCTCATCATCTCTCTAATCCTCCATCTCTCCACACCACCTCATCCCTCCACCGAAGCCACCACTCTACCTCCATTCCATCTCCCCATCTCTCATCCACCACACTTCACCCGAAACCACAAGCCACCAACACCCCTTCTCTCTGGTCAAGCCGCCGCTGCGTCTTCTCCGGCCATTTCTCAGGCCGTCTCTGCATTGTCTTCGGCGATTCTCTGGCCTAAGTTCTCTATCTCTCGGATTCTCATTGGCCATTCCTCCGACCGTCGTTCTCATCTCAGGCCGTATCTCCGGCAATCTTCTCCATCGCGGGCCAATTTTCAGGCCGTCGCTGCGTTTTCTCCGGCCATTTCTCAAGCCGTCGCTGGTCACAATCCCTCTCTCCATCTTTCTCTGATATTCTCACTCGGGTAAGCATCCTTATCCCTTCCTCTTCCTCTTTTTATCTAAATATATGTGTGTACTTGTGAGTATCCTTGTGTAAAAAGTCTGAGAATAAGTGTTTTGATTTTTGAAATTACTGAGATTAGTAGTTTGAATTTGAGGATGATCTAGATTCATGATATACATTGTGATTTGGTATTTTGAGAAAAATTGAAGGGGCTGTGAATCTGAGATGATATATTTGTGTTTTTAATTTCTGAGAATCTGTGATATACATGGTTTGATTGTTTCAGTTTTGATGTTGGTATATATTCGGGATATGCATATATGTGGTTTGAAGTTTGGGAATTTTTGTTTTAGGCTGTGGCTGCGATGTCTGTGATCATATATATAGATGATGTGTGTTCTGAAATAGTGGAGAAGTTGTGACTGTGATGGGCTGTGAAGTTTGGGTAGTTTAGATATATATCGATGACGTATATGATTTGTGATCTGAAATTGTGATGGGCTGAGGCATTGGAGAAGTTTATATATATATACACGTGTGTGACTTGAACTTTGGATTCTAAAATTCTGAATTTTGGAATTTGATTCTTGTTATCGATTTAAACTGTTTAGTTCAAATTTCTAATGAGACTTTATCTTCTAAAAATGGTTTTGAGAGTGTTGCCGTTTGATTGAGTCGAGAAATAAATTTTTGAGGGAAGACCCTGACGATCGTTTGATGTTGAGTGTTAAAAATCTTTGGGAATTGTTTGGGCATTGTAGTTGATATTTATGCTTGAGAGTTTGACATTGAAAAATATTCTGAAGTTGCACTCTTGATTATTCTAATGGAAAGCATGTTCACACAAGTTCATATCCATGTGTTAAGACTTTGAAATTCTGAAATTTCATAATTGATGTTTTGAAATTGTTCAATAGCTGAGTTGTGATGTTCAATTTGGATAAGTTGTATTTGAAATTCTGTTGTATTTCAATTGGATAATTGGGATGAGTTGGATAATTTTGGAAAGGAACTTGAATGTCATTAAGCGTGCAAATAAATTCTGAAATTAGTGGAGACACAATCTTTGATATCTATATGTGTTCTATGCATGTATATGGTTTCTCTTGGAACTTTTTGACATGATTGATCTTCAATGCATATATGCTAATGTTTGCGGATCATTTGTGATGCTTAATTTCTGAAAATTCTAAGGGCTGAAATGTTTAGAGGTGTTATATAGTTTTCAAAATTGGAAATTGGGATTTGATAGCTGAAATGTGAAATGTGATTTGATTTTGTTTCTTCAAGTTTCAATCATTTTCAGAATTTGTCCAAAGTGTCCCTAATTGAGATGAACATGCTCTAAGTGCATCTTGCTTGATTTTTGCCATGTGAGGGCATTTCGTGTTGTTTGTGAGCGAATGTGATGTGAGTTATGAGTTGTATTGAAAATTGAGATAAGACAAATGACAAATCTCTCTAGAGCTAAGTTATTGCGGAGGAAACAGTTTTGGGAATTGGGACTAATTATCAAAAGTAGTATACACTGCACACTATATACATGTTTTGTTAATTAATTTCCATGAGAAAGAAAAGGTTGATATATTGTTGAAGGATGTCCATGACTTTAAGCTTTCATTCATTTATTTCTTGTGTGAATTGAATAATTTTTGTTGGGAACACTTACAGTAATAAATCTCTGCTTTTTTTATGAAATCAAGCATAATGAATGTATTCATTTATACAAATGTTCAAGTATAGAAGATTCATTGAGAGAGGTCGATTTGTTAGACATAAAACGTTAATGGTAAACGTTTAATCTATTCTTATGCTTTAAAGGGGAATCGATGTTCTTGTTAAATTTTTATTTTTATTTTGTTGTATTGACACTATCTCTCATCGGCCAATCCTCCCGCTGTCGTTCTCATCTTGGGCCGTATCTCCGGCAATCTTCTCCATCGTGGGCCAATTTTCAGGCCGTCGCTGCGTTTTCTCCGGCCATTTCTCAAGCCGTCGCTGGTCACAATCCCTCTCTCATCTTTCTCTGATATTCTCACTCGGGTAAGCATCCTTATCCCCTCCTCTTCTCTCTTTTTATCTAAATATATGTGTGTACTTGTGAGTATCCATGTGTAAAAAGTCTGAGAATAAGGGTTTTGATTTTTCAGATTACTGAGATTAGGAGTTTGAATTTTATGATGATCTATATTCATGATATACATTGTGATTTGGTATTTTGAGAAAAATTGACGGGGCTGTGAATCTGAGATGATATATATGTGTTTTTAATTTCTGAGAATCTGTGATGTATATGGTTTGATTGTTTCAGTTTTGATGTTGGTATATGTTCGGGATATGCATATATGTGGTTTGAAGTTTGGGAATTTTTGTTTAAAGTTGTGGCTGTGATGTCTGTGATCATATATATAGATGATGTGTGTTCTGAAATTGTGGAGAAGTTGCGACTGTGATGGGCTGTGAAGTTTGGGTAGTTTTGATATATATCTATGTGTGATGACATATGTTTTGTGTTCTGAAATTGTGATGGGCTGAGGCATTGGAGAAGTTTATATATATATACGTGTATGACTTGAACTTTGGATTCTAAAATTCTGAATTTTGGAATTTGATTCTTGTTGTCGATTTAAACCGTTTAGTTCAAATTTCTAATGAGACTTTATCTTCTAAAAGTGGTTTTGAGAGTGTTGCCGTTTGATTGAGTCGAGAAATAAATTTTTGAGGGAGGACCATGATGATCCTTTGATGTTGAGTGTTAAAAATCTTTGGGAATTGTTTGGGCATTGTAGTTGATATTTATGCTTGAGAGTTTGACATTGAAAAATATTCTAAAGTTGCACTCTTGATTATTCTAATGGAAAGTATGTTCACACAGGTTCATATCCAAGTGTTAAGACTTTGAAATTCTGAAATTGCAAAAATGATGTTTCGAGTTTGTTCAACACATGAGTCGTGATGTTCAATTTGGATAAGTTGTATTTCAATTGGATGAGTTGGATAATTTTGGAAAGGAACTTGAATGTCATTAAGCATGCAAATAAATTCTGAAATTAGAGGAGACACAATCTTTGATATCTATACGTGTTCTATGCATGTATATGGTTTCTTTTGGAACTTTTTGACATGATTGATCTTCAATGCATATATGGTCATGTATGCGGATCATTTGTGATGCTTAACTTCTGAAAATTCTAATGGCTGAAATGTTTAGAGGTGTTATATAGTTTTCAAAATTGGAAATTGGGATTTGATAGCTGACTAACAACTGGTAACCCAGTTACAATAAGAGGAGATATTTATTTATTTATTTATTTTTATAAAACCCAATTTAACATTTAATTTTATTTTATTTTTTAAAAAATGTGCTAATGAAGTGCTTTCAACTACTTAAAAATTAGATTTAATTGAGAATGAGAACATTTGAATTTCAAACAGTTACAAATAAAAATTTCAATTTATAATTAGTATTTAAAATTCAGTTCATAAAATTTTGAATATTTAAATTTTAATTCTATCAAACAATAAGCTTTCCGGGTTATACAAGAAAAATGTAGTTAAAAGAAATTGCTACATGTGATCTCAATTTATTGATTATTTTGAATCAAAATTCTTGGTTTGTGTTTTTTAAATATATATATATATATATATATATATATATATATCTATATATTTTTCATCATTTATATAGATTTTTCATCATTTAGTAATAGAATATTGACTAAAAGTTGTCTATCAATCAGGATATAATTTGAGAATTAAAGGTGGAAACAATGTTACATAGACTTGTTACATTACCCGTGATGAAACCTTATATTTGCATATTGTTGATGATATTTGGAATATTATGTGAATTAATAAAAATGATTACTCACTCATGTTGGAATTAAGGATGACCATCTACGGAATTTTCTTCTTTCTTCTTTTTATTGGGTGTTGGTGGGAAGTTTGATGATGAATGTAAATAGTAGCAAACTCATCTCTCTCATTCACTTATGATAACACCGTGGAATTGATGGTCTTCAAATGAAAAGATTTATGATTTAATTTGACTAAAGGGAAATAGGAATGTAACTTTTTTTTTTTAAGAAAAAAGGAAATTGTAGGAATTTGAAGAGTAAAAGAAGGAGAAAAAAAATAAAAAAAGGAAATAAGAAATAATTTTTGTAAATGAAGATTTTAGATATAAAGGACCATAAGTAAAAGATCAAATTATGATTTAATTGACGAAAGGGAAATAGGAATGTAACTTTTTTTTTAAGAAAAAAAGGAAATTATAGGAATTTGAAGAGTAAAAGAAGGGAAAAAAAAAAAAATGAAATAAGAAATAATTTTAGTAAATGAAGATTTTAGATATAAAGGACAATAATTAAAAGATCAAATTATGATTTAATTGACCAAAGGGAAATAGGAATGTAACCTTTTTTTTTTAAGAAAAAAGGAAATTATAGGAATTTGAAGAATAAAAGAATGGGGAAAAAAAAAAAAAAAGGAAATAAGAAATAATTTTAGTAAATGAAGATTTTAGATATAAAGGACAATAATTAAAAGAACAAATTATGATTTAATTGACGAAAGGGAAATAGAAATGTAACCCTTTTTTTTTTTTTTAAGAAAAAAGGAAATTATAGGAATTTGAAGAGTAAAAGAAGGGAAAAAAATAAAAGGAAATAAGAAATAATTTTAGTAAATGAAGATTTTAGATATAAAGGACAAGAATTAAACTTATTTGCTTTGACTTTTCAAAATGGATGACTAATATAGGAAATCTAAAAATAATATTGTCTAAAATAATAAAAGTTTTTTCCCATAATTAAATCTCATAAATTCATTAAAAAGGGTAAATAAATACTTATGCATTTATTATATAACTTTCATATAAAAAATATTGAAAGTAAACTAATTTCACATTAATTACTAATCATGTTTGAGGTTTATAAATATTCTAAAAAATATTATATACATTATATTTAAATTAATTAACTTTTTATCTCATATTTAAAGCTCGTATCTTACACACTCACTTATTGCTAAGAAAATTATATAATTTTCTTATTACTCATTAATCATGTTTAAGGGTATAAATATCCTACAAAAAAATTTAAATTTATATTACTTAAGTTTCTTTTCTATTTAAATCTCACATACCCATTTATTAGTAAGATAATTATATAAATAATTACACATTAAATTATTTATTTTGTTTACAAAAATATTAGAATAAAATTAAGTATTTAACTAAAAAAAAAAGGCTTATATTTAAGTATTTAACTATATAATTCACATTGAATTATATTTGTCATAATTAAACACAATGAATTATATTTGTCCTAATTAAACACATTGAATTAAGGAAGCTTTGGAAAAAAAATAAAAAAATTAAGGAGGTTATAATAGTATAGTAATCTTATATGACTATATAATTAAGGATAGTGATAGATGGGCCGATAATTTTGGCAGAATATATATGGCAATCCAGGTAAGCAACTTTAACAATTAAAAAAAGGACAGAAAATAAAAGAGGAAACAATATATGCATCCGCAGATTATCTTTCCTGTCAAATTCTAGGCTAAGTATCTGATAGTTATCAAATCTCTCCCTCTTTGTTTCGTCTCTTTAAACAATATTTCTTACCTTTTGATTTTTAAAGTATGGTTGCAATTTCATATCATATATCATATTCATATATATCTATATATATTGTATCATGTGTGTAATTTTTTTTTTTGAAGGTAAATATGTGTATTTATTTATTTGATTATATTGTTCATTCACAGTCTTTAAAAAATTTTCAAAGAGATATTAGAGAAAGAAATAGAATGAGAAAAAGAAAGAAAGGAGAGAGGAGATGAGAGAGAGAGATGAAAATGGCTTAGCTGGTTGAAATGACAGATGAGAGAGTAATCGGTCAAATATTTCGGTTGAAATATCATTTTCCTATAATTAAATACATGAAATTAAGAAGGCTACACTAATATAGTGATCCTATTACCTATATAACTATATAATTTAACACGTGTAATTAAAAATCTCACACTAATATAGTGATCTATATATAACTATATAATTAAACGCATTGAATTATGGAGGCTATATATACTAGTATAGTGATTCTATATAATTATATAATTTAACACATGTAATTATATGATTTATATCTATATAATCAAACACATTGAATTAAGGAGGCTATACTATTAGTATAGTGATCCTGTATAACTATATAATTAAACACATTGAATTAAGGAGGCTATATATATATATATATATATATATATATATATATATATAATGATCCTATATAACTATGTAATTAAATAAGGCTTAATTTAATTAGTAATTAATTATAATTTAAGTTGTTAATTACATGAATGTAGTCACTTTCATAAGAACTAGTAATTCAATACGAACTAGTAGTTCCATAGCAACTAATTACAACCTTGGGTAGTCACATCATCAAATTGGAGGCTGAGAAGATTTTTTTGCATACAATGATACAAGTTATGTACAAGTGTACAACTGACAAGGTTTTATATATTGCAAAAAATAACATATTGGAGGCGGGAGTTTCTTTTGCATTTAATGCATACAAGACAAGGGTTTGAAAAGTTGAAATCCAATGAATATGTGGCTGTGGCCCGTGGGTTTGGTGGAGTGCATGGAGATTGGAGACAATGGAGTGTTAGACTCATTATACTCTACCAAACTCTTATTTCTCAGACACCACATCTCTCTCATCTACTGAAAGTCACATAAACATTGAGCTTGAACAATAATCTCATCTGCAAATACGGAAGAAGAACATGTATATACTCAAATCAAATGGTTGGTTTTTTATTCCTCTAAGTATTTTTTGATTTCAACAATAATCTCATCTTCAAATAGGGAACAAAAACACGTTTATACTCAAATCAATTGGCTGGTTTTTATTTGTCAAACTTTGAGCTTCAACAAAAATCTCATCTACAAATAGGGAACAAGAACAGGTATATACTCAAATCTATTTGCTGGTTTTTATTCCTCAAGTATTTTTTGATTTTAAGTTTCAAAGTAATGGCCGGACTGCCAAGTTGGTGCTGCTAAGTTGTTAACATACATCTTAAGTATTTCGTATTTTCTCATTCTTTTCTTGGTGCTGCTAAGTTGTTGCTCCCTTAATGCATCAGTAATGTACTAACAAATTAAAAATTACATTTAGTGTGTAGAATTATATTTATTGCTTATGTGTGTAGAATTTCAATTTAGTGTGTAGAATTTCAATTTAATATTTCAGGTGCAAACTTGCAAAGTGCGGATTGTGCAAGTGTGATCAGTGGTGATATACTGATATGTAATTGAAGGCTAAAGTCACTAAAGTATTGTGGTGCAGTGCAACTGTACAAGTGCAAGTGTGGGAATTCAGTATTCGGTATTCACAGAATCACAATAAAGTGATAAACCAATAAGGTACTTATAAGTTATAATTATATAATTTATATCATACTAAATTACTAATATACTGTATCATGCATTCATGTATGGTTGTATGCCTAACTGCCTATATATATATCTTTAATACTCCAATATACTATTTTCTATGCCGTGTCCAAGTATCTGTGTCCGAGTTTTGGACACTTTTATTCCGTGTCCCCGTGTTTTATAATTTAATAGATAGATGGATCCGACCTCTAGACATGTACCCGAGTCCGACACCCGTACCCGAGTCCGGGTAACATAGGTCAACTTTGGAACATGAAGTGTATTTGACAATTAATAAAGGAGTAACTGATATGTGACCCTTCCCAGCAATGGAAGATGGAGAGCCATCCGCAAGGCGGACCTTGCGTTGGCCAGAGTAGATACTATAAGATTGGAAGAGTGAGGACATACTAGTCATATTGTCTGAAGCACTAGAATCAATGATCCATGGTGTTGAAGATGTAGATACGCTATGTGCAGACGCAATAGTACCCGAGTGGGCATAAGTGGAGGTTGGCTGAGATGATGCCTCCATTTGGTTGAAGAATTGCTTAAACTTGTCCAAATCAGCTTGAGTCAAGATAACTGTGGCAGAAAATGTAGAGGCAGGGTTGTCAGGAGTTGACAACGAGACTGGTTGTGTAACAGAATGTGTAGAGGATCGAGGCTGTTGTTTCTGTTGCGGTAGACGTCCATGTAGAGCATAACAACGAGATTTGATGTGACCAATTTTTCCGCAATGGTCACACCGTCCACGTTGTTGTCCCAGACGAGGACCGGTAGTAGTGCTCTGAACTGACTGGGATGGTGAAGTTCCTGAAAGGTTGGGAATCCGAACTGCCATAGCAGAACGATCAACAGAAGCAACACCTAATGGATGAGTCCAGCGACTCTTATCTGACAACACATAGGAATATGCATCCTCAAGAGTAGGGAATGAAGATAAACCCAATAAATGAATACGAGCATACTCAAACTCATCGTTCAACTCGGCAAGAAACTGAAACACTTGATTCTTCTCCACAATTCCTGCATATAAAACTGCATCATTTGGATCTTCCAAGAGTGGAAGGAATTATAATATGACATCTCCTCCCAAATAGCACGAAGCTTGGCGATGTAACCTGAAACTGTCAAGTCACCCTGAGAAATCCTGGTGATATCTCGCCCCAGGTGAAAAATTCGTGCATTATTTTGCCTCTGAGAATAAGTGCATTGAACTGAATCCCAAATCTGCTTAGCAGTCTTCATAAACATATAGCCAACAACTATGTTTGGTTGCAGCGAATTGACTTAGCCAAGACATAAGAGCAACTCCAATGGTCTTCTATATTGGGTTTTCAAACTCATAATTTGAGAGATGAGTGAAAAACAGGTTCTCCAATGGCCTTTCATTTGGCCTCTCAAAATTTGAAAATCTCATTTTTTCTCTCAAATGTAAGAGCTACCAAAATTTTTTAGCAAGTCTGTTTAATGGCCTACGACGCCGTTTCTTCACATCTCAGCCGACCCTTTCTCTCTCATTTGCAACAACCCTATCCCTCTCATCTGCAACATCCCCTTTCTCTCTCATCTGCAACAACCGAAGATGCTGCTCAGCCATGGTTCTGAGTGGTCCAATCGTGGCTCCCTTCACCATCGCCGTGGTTCTGGGTTATGGCATGAGCTCCGGTGAAGAGGGCGGCAGCGACCGGAGATCAGATGAATTTGGGTTGTGGCATGAGCTCCCATGAAGACACCTGCAGTGGTAGATTCCTCAGGTCTTCTTAGCCTATTGGTGGGATGGGGTGGTAAGATGAACTGAAATATATGGGTTTTGAGCTTCTGATTCTTGTAGATTTTGTAGTTTGCAGTTGCAGAGAGAGAAAGAGAGAGAGAGAGAAAGGGCAAGTTCTCAGATAGAGGCGATTGGGGAGGCTGATATGATTTACCCTAAAAATATATATATTTTTAATAATTATATAATCAAATATATAATACACACACACACACACACATATATAAAGAAAAAAAAATTATATAAAAAAATTAATTCACAAATAGTGGTAAAAAAAATTATAAAAAATTTGTTTTTTTTTTATTTTTGTTCCTTTTTTGACCCAATATTTTAGATTTTTGCTCCTTTTTAATTAGATTTAATTTTAGTTTCCTTCTAATATCTAGAACTTGACTTGGAATGTGCCTAATATTAATATTATTGATGCAAATATGAATGGTAGGAATGGTGATTGGGGAGGCTGATATGATTTACCTTAAAACTATATATATTTTTAATAATTATATAATCAAATATATAAAATACACACACACACACACACACACACACACACACACATATATATAAATAAAAAAAATTATATAAAAAAATTAATTCACAAATAGTGGTAAAAAAAAATTATAAAAAATTTGTTTTTTTTATTTTTGTTCCTTTTTTGACCTAATATTTTAGATTTTTGCTCCTTTTTAATTAGATTTAATTTTAGTTTCCTTCTAATATCTACAACTTGACTTGGAATGTGCCTAATATTAATATTATTGATGCAAATATGAATGGTAGGAATGGTAGTTGAAAAAGAATGGTGGTTGTGTCAAAAAATAGCATTTTGCACCATTGGAGCAGAATTGCTAAATTGCAGCATTTTGACACTGTAGCACCTGTCAAAATATAGATTTGGCATCCAATTTAGCATTTTACCATTGGAGATGCTCTAACCATAGCGTTATCTGCAAACCACCGTGGATATGCCTTCTTTGACTCAGCTGGCTCTTTCTCAGAACCAGTAATATATCCAATCTTGCCTTTGCCACCAATGAATATCTTGGCAGACTGTGCTCAAATCAAATAGTTGGAACCATCCAATTTCACTGTGGTGATTTGAAGTCTTGGATTTTCTGATGAGTTGGTGGGAAAATGGCACCACCACCCATAGAACGTGAGCCAAGAGAATTAACAGTCGAGGATCCTAAATCTGCCATAATCTGTCACAAGACAATAAAAAAAACTCCAAAAATATCACAAATTCTGTTAATAAATCAAAGGGTCTCCTCAGACCATTCTCGAAAAATCCAAATACATACCTTTTTTAAGGAGCGCTACCCGCTTACATATAGCCAGACAACCTCCTTCTTAATATTCGGAATCTCTTTGTAAACTATATTTTTTTTACTCAAGCCCTTCTAGGTGTTGGAAACCAACTATCGCAATTTATCCAACCCTAGAAGAGTGAAAAAGAAATTGTAAAACTTAAAAATACCTGTTTTTGATCACAAAACAGTAACACAGAAAAACATATGTAGGTAACGTCACAAGATGTCACAAACAGCCTAAGGTAGCTGTCGCACAAGCAACAAGGCTGCTGAAAGGTGTGGAAATGTGTTGGCTCTGATACCAAGTAAAAATATATAAAAAGAAGAGAAAAGAGAGAATTGCGTAAAGGCTTGAATGAGATGAATTACTCATTCACAGCTCTAGTATTTATAGATAAAATGAACACATGCTCATATTACAATAAAGGAAACTAAATTATCAAACTCAAATCATAACTTATTCTAAAGCATATTCTATGGCATAGTCAAATCTCTGCTATTTTGGTAAGTCATACCATAAATCGTGGTATCATATATATGCTATTATATGCATAGTCAAATCTTTGCTATTATGGTAAGTGATACCATAAATCGTGGTATCATAAATGCTAACAAAATATATGTGTGTACTTGTGAGTATCCATGTGTAAAAAGTCTGAGAATAAGGGTTTTGATTTTTCAAATTACTGAGATTAGGAGTTTGAATTTTATGATGATCTATATTCATGATATACATTGTGATTTGGTATTTTGAGAAAAATTGATGGGGCTGTGAATCTGAGATGATATATATGTGTTTTTAATTTCTGAGAATCTGTGATATATATGGTTTGATTGTTTCAGTTTTGATGTTGGTATATATTCCGGATATGCATATATGTGGTTTGAAGTTTGGGAATTTTTGTTTTAGGCTGTGGCTGTGCTGTCTGTGATCATATATATAGATGATGTGTGTTCTGAAATTGTGGAGAAGATGTGACTGTGATGGGCTGTGAAGTTTGGGTAGTTTTTATATGTATCTATGTGTGATGACATATGATTTGTGTTCTGAAATTGTGATGGGCTGAGGCATTGGAGAAGTTTATATATATATACATGTATTACTTGAACTTTGGATTCTAAAATTCTGAATTTTGGGATTTGATTCTTGTTGTCGATTTAAACTGTTTAGTTCAAATTTCTAATGAGACTTTATCTTCTAATAGTGGTTTTGAGAGTGTTGCCGTTTGATTGAGTCAGAAATAAATTTTTGAGGGAGGACCATGATGATCCTTTGATGTTGAGTGTTAAAAATCTTTGGGAATTGTTTGGGCATTGTAGTTGATATTTATGCTTGAGAGTTTGACATTGAAAAATATTCTAAAGTTGCACTCTTGATTATTCTAATGGAAAGCATGTTCACACAAGTTCATATCCATGTGTTAAGACTTTGAAATTCTGAAATTGCAAAAATGATGTTTTGAGATTGTTCAACACATGAGTTGTGATGTTCAATTTGGATAAGTTGTATTTGAAATTCTGTTGTATTTCAATTGGATACTTGGATGAGTTGGATAATTTTGGAAAGGAACTTGAATGTCATTAAGCATGCAAATAAATTCTGAAATTAGAGGAGACACAATCTTTGATATCTATACGTGTTCTATGCATGTATATGGTTTCTTTTGGAACTTTTTGACATGATTGATCTTCAATGCATATATGCTCATGTGGATCATTTGTGATGCTTAATTTCTGAAAATTCTAAGGGCTGAAATGTTTAGAGGTGTTATGTAGTTTTCAAAATTGGAAATTGGGATTTGATAGCTGAAATGTGAAATGTGATTTGATTTTGTTTCTTCAAGTTTCAATCATTTTCAGAATTTGTCCGAAGTGTCCCTAATTGAGATGAACATGCTCTAAGTGTATCTTGCTTGATTTTTGCCATGTGAGGGCATTTCATGTTGTTTGTGAGCGAATGTGATGTGAGTTATGAGTTGTATTGAAAATTGAGATAAGACAAATGACAAATTTCTCTAGAGCTAAGTTATTGCGGAGGAAACAGTTTTGGGAATTGGGACTAATTATCAAAAGTAGTATACACTGCACACTATATACATGTTTTGTTAATTAATTTCCATGAGAAAGAAAAGGTTGATATATTGTTGAAGGATGTCCATGACGTTAAGCTTTCATTCATTTATTTCTTGTGTGAATTCAATAATTTTTGTAGGGAACACTTACAGTAATAAATCTCTGTTTTTTTTTTATGAAATCAACAATAATGAATGTATTCATTTATACAAATGTTCAAGTATAGAAGATTTTGGTACATTTATTTATTGATCACCGAAGATAATGAATGTATTCAATAATGAATGTATTCTTGTGTGAATTCAATAATGAATGTATTCAACCAATTTTGGTACACATATTTATTGATCACCGAAGATAGAGCATGGAGAGAGGTCAGGGTCCAAAAGCAAAATGGTTGATGGGCCAGCAGGTAAGAAAGCCTCATTTAGTGTCTCTCATTTCCCTTTAGGCAAGGTTATATGTACCCTTGTTTTGGGGCTACTACAAGTCTTGATTCTCCAAAATTTCTTGAAAAATAACATTTGAGTCCCTTTGTAAGACATAAAACATTAATGGAAAGCGTTTAATCTATCCTTATATTTTAGTTGGAATCGTTATCACTTAAAACATTAAACATATTTAAGTGGATAAAAGCGATTCTATTTAGTGTTCCAAGTTTTACTCGTTAAATAGAGTGGTGGTGTTCAAATTTCTTTTGGTTTTGTTGTATTGCATTAGCTGCAGGTCTTAGAGCATGGACAAACTTAAGGGAACTCGCCAAATCCATCGAAGCTAGAAAAAACTCATCAAATTTGAAAAAAGGAGAATATATTAAAAATTAAAATCAATTATGAATTGGTTTAACTCTTATCTTTTTGTGCAAAATTATGGATGTCAGATTTTGGATAAAACCGATTCAGTTAGTATTTTAATTCTTATTCATCAAATAGAGTAGTAGTGTTCAAATTTCTTTTGATTTTGTTATATTGCATTAGTGGAAGGTCTTGGAACATGGACAAATTTGAGGGAACTCACCACCAAAATAAATCGAAACGAGAAGCCACCATGTGTGCGTACATCAAAATAAATAAATACTACTCTTATTAGAGAAATTTGAAACAAAGAAAAAGAATAAAAGCAATTGTGAATTAGTTATATTCAAGATTATGGATGTCAACGATTTAGTTCTATCCATTGTGCAAACTGATGAAGAAAGTTGGGCTATGTTTTCAGTATCTCCTTACCAAATACCTTGGATCTAATAGCCACTTTTCACATGCAATGAGAAAATGAAATATAACTCTAAAAACATAAGCAGATTGCAATTATGAAGGAAAAAAGCAGAAGAAAAAAAGAGTCTTTAAAGTTGATTAAATTTAGATTTTCGTCACTTTATTATTTATTTTTTGAAGTCTTTCAACTTTTTCACCAGAAAAAAACACCGGTCATGCAATCAAATTGGACCCTCATTAATATGAGTTATTTGTGGGCAAGGTAAAGGAATTAGAAAATAAAAAACTAAAAAGATCAAAAATCAAGATCAAATGCATGTTAGTTTATTTTAATAATCGATTATATATATGTTTTATGTCAGCGACAAAGTAAGGGTACTAAAATAGTACTTGATGGTATATGAGAATTCTTTGCCAATCAAGTCGTACTTTGAGTAGAAAACAAACCAGATTATAATATTACCCACCTACAAATTAATGCACTGTTCTCTTGTTCATTTTATGGCTCTTAAGTTTTTCCGCACTCTTCAAATTTTGGTTTATGTGATGAAAGAGCTTAAATGGATTCCGTTTACAAAGATTCCACACAACGTTTCCAAATCCATGAGTTTGAGACCTATCTCCCTCAAATATTTCGTGTTGGTTATAATTGACTTGTGCTCTTATTTATTTTGGAAAATGATTTGTTGCACTGAATAGTTGCATTAAATTGCTAGACATACTCTTTTAATGGTTCACTTATGCAATATATAAAAATTGAATTGCTAGACTTACTCTTTTAATTGTTCAATTATGTAACATATAAGAAGTGGAGCCCTCCACTTAGTTATATTTGGTATAGCTAATTAAAAATTATTCGGTTAAGTAATTCAGTATAAGTGTTTGGTGTAAGTATCACCACTCATTTATTTTATTCTCACCCTCAAACCGTGTTGGTTACAAAATGACATCTGCACTTATTTATAGGCACAATCACTCCTTCGAAATTTTTCATAAATTCGATACCCTTCTAAAATATTCTTTGCAACAAAATGTCAAATATTTTAGAATCGATCACAACATAAATGCATAAAAATAAATAAATACTACTTTTGTGCTCCTTTAATTTGGGGTTCATCTCACTTTTAATTTGAAAAGTCACTCAATGATTTTCATAGACACTTGTTTAGTGTATTACATTTTTGGGATTGGTTTGTGCTCACTTTAATTAAAAGTTCACCCTTTATATAGGCATCAGCCACCTTAATGGACGGATATGAAGCATTATAATCAACGACTATAATTTTCGCACTAGAATACTCCTTTTATTCTCTCCTTTGTGTTCTAGAATCTCCATCCCTCTCTTTAAGACTTGACAATAATGACACCGAAATCACTCCCACCATCTGGAACAATCTAATCTAAATAAGGGGAAAAAAAAGAAGCTAAAACAGAGCAATTATTACTATGTATTGCTGAAATCCATCAATAATTTTGATTCATTCAAAATGATTCAGATACCAAAAATGTTGAATACCTTAAACGAAGAAGAAACTTACAATGATACTCAACCATTCGAAAACGTCCAATCCAGGCATGTAACCAAGAACAATCACCAGAATTGTTGAAAAAACCAAAATTTTGTAGCGTTTTAAATCCTACTCATCAAATTTAAATTTCTTTTGATTTTGTTGTATTGCATTAGCGGCAGGTCTTAGAGCTTGGACAAACTTAAGGGAACATACTATCAAAATCGATCGAAGCGAAAAGCAACTCACTAAGTACACCAAAAAGATAAATAAATAAAAATAATGGAAGATTAGGAGAATTGTATTTATTTTGGGAAAAAGAAAAAAAAAAAAAAATTAAAAGCCCAACCCTCGAATTTTGATCGGCTAACTAAACATATCATGTTCGTGTTTGACCCTCTAAATACGATTATGGCACGATTAACTAAACGTGTTAGATAAATATATCGTGTTTGTGCCAAGAATGACCCATTTAGCTAAACGTATAAAATAAATATGTCGTATTCTTATCAAAAATGACTTAAATGTGTCTTTTCGTATCGTGTCAAGTCTTGACCCATTTATTAAACAGGTTTATTGAAAGATTGACAATAAATGAAAAATAATTTAGTTTGCAGGTTTCGATCTAGGAAAAAAAATATTTTGGTTAGCATTTTTACATCAAAACTTGAGTTTGTACTTTTGTTTTAAGTTGTAGCTTAGTTTAGAAATTATTCAAAAGTTAGTTAGTGTTGGTTACCTCCCAAGGTTGAAGATGGAATTTATGCTATAAACAAGGGAATTTTGGCACCAACACGCCTGTGGCCTAGCGGTACAAGGCTCCTACTTTCTAAAGGGAGGTCAGGGATTCGAACATCAGTGGAGACAGTGTGTGTGAGTCCCAACTAGGGAAACCAAAAAAGTGGTTAAAAGCCACAGCCCAACGAGTTGAATGTCTTTTACTATAAACTTTTGAAACTTTATTTTGATCTCGAGGGTACTTGCATAATTTGAATTGGACTCATTCCAAGTTCAGACGAACTATTTTTACAATTAAGGTTGGATTTGGGTCCAAAATTTTGAATCCAAACTTAATTACAATTGAATTTGAGTTGAAAAGTTAGTAATCCGAGTTAATCTGAACCTGAATTATAATATTTTTTTTTAATATTTTTTATTTTAAAAAATATATATAATATTTAAATTATGATCACCTTTTTCTTTTTAACTTTATTGACTTACATCTTTATGTTAAAACTTCAGAGAAGTATTTTTTTAAGAATTCGTTTGTAATTTAGGCTATAGCATGCTTTGAAGAAATGGATTTATGATCATATTTCTGAAAATGGAGAAGTTCCATCATTTCTGCCATTTGTAGATAAGATGTAAGTATGAGTTTGCTGCTATTTACATTCATCATCAAACTTCCCACTAACACCCAATAAAAAGAAGAAAGAAGAAAAATCCGTAGATAGTCATCCTTAATTCCAACATGAGTAAGTAAAAGATCATTTTTATTAATTCACCTAATATTCCAAATATCATTAGAAAATTTCATCCTAATAATATAGTTTTGTGAATGTCCACTTGGGATAAATCGCTGAACTACCAATTCTGTAATCTGTAATATGTCTGAGTCAAGGGTCTGGTTATGTAAAAATGTTTGTTATGGTTCAACTATGCGCAAATGTAAGGTTGCATCAGTGGTAATGTAACAAATCTATGTAACATTGTTTCCACCTTTAGTTCTCAAATTATATCCTGATTGATATATTACTTTTAGTCACTATTCTATTACTAAATGATGATATATATATATATATATATATATTTAAAAACCCAAACCTAGAATTTTAATTCAAAATAATCAATAAATTGAGATCATATGTAACAATTTCTTTTAACTACATTTTCTTGTATAACCCGGAAAGCTTATTGTTTGATAGAATTAAAATTTAAATATTCAAAATTTTATGAACTGAATTTTAAGTACTAATTATAAATTGAAATTTTTATTTGTAACTGTTTGAAATTTAAATGTTCTCATTCTCAATTAAACCCAATTTTTAAGTAGTTGAAAGCACTTCTTTGGCACATTTTTTTTTAAAAAAAAAAAAAAAAAATTAAATGTTAAATTGGGTTTTATAAAAAAAATAAATAAATAAACCGCTTCACATTGTATCTCCTCTTATTGTAATTGGGTCACCAGTTGTTAGTCAACGTTATAAGCAACCACATCTTAAGGCTTAATCCTCTTCAACAGCTCCTTGCCCTCGAAGTAGACTTCATCGAAGTAGGCGTGCAACAACTCTTGAATTTTTATAAAAGGATATATGGTAGTCAAATTGCACTCTTAAATTAGATTTGTAAATTGATTTGCTTTTCAAATATTTATGGATTATAAAGAACAAGATTTACTTGAAATTTACAATGGCAAGAATTATAAAATCTTTTCATTTTTAAGACTACTAATTTAAATGAAATTGTTATCATAATATTACGTTTGCATGGAGAATTGAAATCCATACATTACTACATTTATTTTTCAATGCATGATGATATAATAAAC